AATGAATGTACAAATGCGCTTTACACAATTGATGTGTGTATGGATTGTGATAAGAGTTGTATGAGCCCCTAATAAAATGTTTAAAAAAAATTCTTGCCCTTTGATGATGGACGGACTGAGTTCGTCAGTTTTGGGTGGCACACCTCGGTTCTTGTTTCTCAACGCTGAAAGAAGTCACGCGGCAGAGGCACTTTTGCAATCCAAGTGATTTTTATGAGGAAAAGGGAAGTTTCAGGTATTACGGACTCAAAAAGTACACGCTATTTCTGCAAAGTGTACAAGGCCGCCTGCGGACCGCATGGGAACTCACTACTGAACTTGGCTGTTTCAGGGGCGCGTGGAAAAATACACGGAAGGAATACTGGAACAGGAGCGTGGAACGATGTGCAGAGCCAACAGCAGGAAATACCGAGAGAGTGAGGGGGCCACGAGTGGACCTGCAGGCGTGTGCTCACCCACATGTGGTAGGAATCTCACCCTTGGCTTGCGGCATGCCCCTGAACAAGAGAAGGTCGGGTGGCCTGTTTTTATCCCCTCCGCTCCCCACTGGCTGGGGAGGTGTGGTTGAGGGTATTGGCTGACCTTATTGGCTGAATTAAGTGCACCTGTGTGATGTCATGTGGCTAGCGTTGTGTGTGGGCCCAGGTTTAGCTTCACCTGCACTTAAGTGTCCTTGGTCTGTGCGTGCTCAGTTTTAGTGGCCAAGTTCTGGCGCACCCATGTTATGTCATATCACTGGTGCCTAGTATTGTGTGGGGGCTCAGGTGTACCTCCCACCTGAGACCTAGATGACTTGGGTCTGAGCATGCTCAGTTCTGGATTTTCCCATAGGTGTCTGAAATTAGTGTGCCTGATTCCTTTCCAACCCCCTCATTGTGGCACAGCCAATCCTTGTTCAGCGTAGGCCTTCAGTGGAGACACCCCCCTTTGTCCCTAATCTAGTCAGCTGACAATTTCACTCAGCATTAAGTGTTAACCAAGTCTGTCCATGCCATGAGGTACGTTGCAGTTTCAATCTTATTCTTTAGTGATGCAAAGTATTACGTTGCGTGTATGTACCAAAGTGTCTTTATCCACTCTTCCACTGATGAACATTGCTATTGTTTCCATCTTCTTGCTGTTGTGGACAGTGCTATGACAAAGTGCGCTGTGTGCTTTTACTTATCTATTCATGCTATGGCTTATACTTCTTCAGCGTACACCCTCAGCAAAGGGCCAAATGGCATTTCTCATTCCAGTCTTACCATGTTCCCCAGGGGATGCCTATTTTCACAGACTCACTAGCAGTATGTGAGGGTTCGTCTCTCCAAACCACCTCCAACATTTATTATTTACTGGTTTTTGAACTTTATTGTCAATGCTGGTGTAAGGTGGTCTCTTATTGTTGTCTTGATTTGCATCTCTTGGATGGCTAGGTAGAAAAAGGCAAAAGAAAAACAAACAAACCAAAAAAACTGTTTAGCAACTCAATTGACTTCTGCTTTCAGTCTTTCCTACCCCAACCTTCAGGTAGAAAATTCCATGATTCATCCAAAAATAAACAAACAAAATTATTGTAAAAGTAAATCCTCTGTATTATTTACCATTCCCACTACCACCATGATCACCTTAGCCCCAATAAATGTTTGTACTCTTATAAAGAACCTTTACTTCCTCCTAGGTATTTCTCCACCCAAGAGGAGGAGAAATATGTCTCTGTTCTTACATTTTTCTCCTCCCTTACTTAAATATTTTCCTAAGCACCCTATATTTTAGTTCCTGGAGGTAAGCTTTGGTACTGCTTGGTGTTCACATTCTCCTCTCTTGGTCCTCAACCAAGTCCTAGTATGCGTGAGGCACAATTTCTGGTGCATCTCATTTTGTAGGCCTCCACTCCTTCAGACAGATCTTGAGCCTGCTCTTCCAAATGGTCCCATGATGTTTTTGTGTCTCAGTAGTCTCTTATATACTGAAGAATTTGTTGGAGGTATGTTTTGTCTTTAGCCAACCATATCCTCTATGAAAATGAAAGAGAGTGTCTTAAATTGGACCTTCTAGTAGTCTTAAAGATGCTCCCTAGGAAACCAAGGGTGTGACTTGGTCCATACTCTCTACTAAAGTCATGATTTACTCCCAGCTTAATCCTATAATAGGGAGCTGCCTTGTTGATGACATAGTGTTTATGAGTTGGGCTGCTAACTGCAACGTCAGCAGTTCAAAACCACCAGCCACTCTTCAGGACTCTTTATTCCCATAAAGATTTACTGTCTTAGAAACCCGCAAGAGCAGTTCTACCCTGCCCTGTAGGGTCACTATGAATCAGAATTGACTTGATGGCAGTGAGCTTTTGTTTGCTTGTTATTTTAAGTCATGTAACAGAGATCTCCCTCCAAAATGGTATAGCCACAGGCATGGCGTGCAGAATGATAGAACATTACATCAGGGGTTATTACCAGAAAGGCCATATTAATTGACTACATCAATAAGTCTCAAGAAGTCACTTTGTTTTATAAGGACTCCAGGTGATTTTGATCTTTGAGGAATACAACTCTACCAGAGGGTGACTGGCAAACCCACACAGTGCTTAACTTTTGAAGCGCTTGAGGAGGAATCATACAGAGAACAACTGCAAACAGCAGAGTCACAGGAGCCAGAAGAGTGTAGATTAGATGAGAAGGGATGGGGGAGCAGAGCAAACAGTAGAACAGGAGAAACACACTGGCAGAAAGAGAAGCAGAGATGGCGGATTTTATTTATAAGTGTGTGAGTGTTCTACTGTGGAGCTTTTTCCTCCTGGATGGATGTCTACATTTGAGTTCTCCATAAGATTCTGGTTGTTTGCTATTCAGGCTAATTGCTGTTCTTAATTTTCTCATCTTCTTAATGAACCACTTAAGTGAGATGGCATAAAAGATAATGGTACCTTTGAAATAGACTGAATCTTCTCCATAAGGACCTATACATCAGTTAGGAATGCTTTTAGCCATAAGTAACAAAAATTTTCAACATTTAATAGTTGAAATCAGTAATATTTATTTATCATACATACAAAAGGAGTCCACAGGAAGGTGGCTGATAACATTGATTCAGTGACTTGATGACCAAAATAAATTAATCATAATAATTGTCATGCAGACACCTGTAATATTTCATTCCTACTCCCAGACTGTGGGCATATGCGAGTTTCAATACAAAATTAGATGCATTCTTGACTTGCCCATCACACAATGTAATGGTGAGAATGAAGTAACATGTGAAAATAATATGTAAGCAGGAGATGAATAAACAAGAATTATGCATAAATTTATCTGTTGATTTGTATTCTGTGGGAATAATTTAAGGATCAGTGATGCATTTGTAGACTCTCACTATAAAGAGGCAGCTGTGGAATAGAGGAACGGCGACTTATTTGGCAATCAGAAAACTGAGACAAGAAACTGGAAGTACCTCTTACTCCTCATATGTCCTGGAGCTAGCCTTCCATCCTTTCAACCTTAGCCGTATTGGTTAAAGTGGCAATTAATCTCGATACTAAATGAAGTTACGTATAAGGAAGTGATTTACAAACAGCAACTGCTATGCAGATGTAAGGCATTATCATTACCTCTTTTAATTGTATCCTCTGGAGACCCAGACACATCAGCTCTATATGAGAAGGAACTACATTTACTCTGAGTTAAGCTTCTGAAATATATTTTATAAAATGAATTGCTTCAGAAAATGTTCCAGACCGTCTGTATTGAGTGACCTCATAGCCATAAAGGGAGGCCAAACTCCACTTTAGCAAATTATTTGATAATTATTTTTGTATGACTAAAAAAGGATTTATAATCCTCTGAATTGAACACACTAACCCAAAATTCAACACTATACCATTCTAGACAAATATTTAAATCATAGTTGAACAGAAATAGAAATGACCTCTGGGGCCCAGAATTTTCTAAGATTAAAGGGAAAAGGGGGTTTTGAATGATGTTCCAGACATATAGGCGTGGGTCAGGCAAAATCAACTAACACCTTCCTCTCTTAAAATTTCCCGTTGATTCTAATATGCAGCCAGAATTACCAGGAGAGAGTCTTTAAAAATTCTGATGATTCATCTGGATCCCAGCTCAACTAAGTGTAGAAGAACTGGAAGGAGGAGCCAGGCATCATATTTAAAATTCAGTAGGTGACTCCAATGTGCAATTGGAGTTGAGGACCTCTATAGGGTCTATAGGGTCTATAGGGTCTATCCTTCACTATGCATTACTGCCATGGACCAAATTTGAGTTAAATGTTCACTAGTATGTATCTTTGAGGGCCTGGGGCCAGCATCTCAGGCTAAAAACACTCCTTATGATTTTTGCTCTGCAGAGTCTAATAAGTATTATGGACTACCTTTTATTTCCCATCTTCCTCTTTTCCAAATGGGAATTTTCACTGTGGGTTACTATGTTCTCTGTTTACCACTGTACTCTGGTGTGTCAGTGAGCAGAGGTTGTGAATCAATGAGGTGTTGTAGATCACTTGGTCCTTAAATATGCATTTTGCTTATAAACTCTTGGGTTGTGTTTCCTTAGAGAGGATAATTTTGATAAACAAAAAGATACTCCCTGTAATTAAGTCAGTTCTTACTCATAGGACAGGGTGGAACTGTCCCTGTGGGTTTCCAAGACTATAACTCTTTAT